TTCGTCCTAGCTCTAAACAATAATCTTACTTTTGGTGCTTTTTGGAAGTCTCGTGAAATGAGGAACCCACATCTAAAAACCGGAATTATCCACTTCACCTAAGAAAATCAGGAATATTCGAATCAGCCATCATGCAGGCAGATAAGGAAAAATCTGTTTGGCAACATGCATATCGTCGTGGGATAGATGATCAAGCTTCATTACTGTTATGTACATCAAGGCGTCTGTGGTTTTTGCAAGGGGGAAAATGCAAACTTTAAAGCATAAAGTACCGTAAAGTTCTGTAAAGTATCAAAGTAGTTTAAAGTACGGAGAAGTAACGCCAAGTATAGTGAAGTGTGTAAAAGTAAGTCAAAGTATGTCAAATTCCCTTGAAAGTACAGCAAAGTACTTCAAAGTACAGAAAAGTACTTCAAAGTAAAGTAAAGTACATTAAAAGTTTCTCAAAGTTCGTGAAAGTAACGTAAAGTTGCTCAAAGTTCATCAAAGTAAGGCAAAGTATTGTAAAGTTGCTCAAAGTTCATCAAAGTAAGGCAAAGTAACGTAAAGTACATCAAAGTAAGGCAAAGTAACGTAAAGTACATCAAAGTTAGGCAAAGTAACGTAAAGTACATCAAAGTAAGGCAAAGTAACGTAAAGCATCGTGAAAGATCTGAAAATAAACGAAACAAAACTAAGTTACGTTGGAAAAATATGAACGTTTGTTTTGTCTGTTTGGAAAAAAAGAAAAAAATCACTATCTAAAGATAAAAAACGGAAGTAATGAGTCTATTAATCAACATCAGCTGTTTGCTTCATGACACGAGATAAACGATCACTAGATAATTTCGTTATATTGTTCGTTAGCAGCCAACAAGCCGACTGTTTGTGAAGATATTTAATTTTGTCATTTATTTTAATTTTGAAATATGACTGCCTTAAAGCGGGATTAATATCATCAACAATCCTTATTCCATTAAAGTCGGATTTTGTTGAATTCAATAAGTCTTCCTCATCACTACTATCGTCACTTTGAGGGTCAAATACAGTTCCATCATCAAGCTCAACTTGTGTATCATCTATAATATTGTTATCATCGTTCTCCTCATCCAATCCAAACTCTTCAACGATGTCAGCAGGTACTTGGGAAGAGTAATTAATCATTCTGGAATTTTTACTTAATACATTGAATATATATTTACTTAAGCTGTCTAAACTGTTTATTCCATGTTGATTTAATGCATCCAACATTTTTGAATGTTTGACAATATGTATTGCTTGATCGTACGCATGTGCTATTATCTGCTCGATATCTAATGTATCAATTTCATCTAATTGATGTGAGGACACTAATGAATGTTCACGTTTTTCCCATACACCAATGGGAAAAGATAGATCTTTTTCGTTTTGATTGTATTTCATTTGATTCAGTATTGATAATTTTTGTGAACGTCGAATAAAATTTTTCACAGTAAAGTTAACTGTTGTTGAAAACGTACTGCTTAACGACCTTGCATCCCTAAACAATGATTCACATCCCTGAGAATTGAATAAATGTATATTAATTAATGCTTGTTTCGGTAAATGTTGTTGTTTCACTAACAGAACCAAATACAGTAAATTATGTGCGTTTAGTTCGACAGATATATATGCTGGTTTTGTAATAAAAAATTTATTAGTTTTATTTTGACTTTTTGTTTTATAAGCTTTTGTTGTTTTCAACCAACACCACC